TCGTGTGATTGTGCCACCTGCGGATCCCGAACTTACTGAAGTGGAGAGGACTGTGGTACTAGATTCTCAGTTTAGTCCCAGACTTGGATGCTCAAGACATCGGTGCGTGCATGTGTGCAGGTTACTCAACTAACCACTTGGGTAAAAGATGGTTGGTGGTTGAGACACCCATGGGCTAGATAACACCGCCTTGAGCAACTGATTCTTAGTGTCAGCTTGTGATCTTGGCTTTACACTTTTTGCTTACAGGCCTTGCAGCTGGAGGAGCAAATACTTTGGTTTTGGTAAGATTTTGCTTTTATGGTCCATCAGGAAATGCAGACCTGTTATTTTCTATAATGAAACATTTCCAAATTGGCTAGCTGGAAGTGAAGCCCACATTTAAAGATACCTAATTGTTAGCAGAGTTCCAGGCACAATTCACTACCTCTTTTGCTATTCTTAAATGGTAAAAGTAGGCAGTTTCTGAAAATAAATCTGTATTTTACAGATCCCATTTGTGTGTGCTTGAGGCAAAGTTTTACATTTTACACAGTTTTTTTGCTTGAGAGAACTCATTGCCTGTAAAATCTATTGGAGTTTTTTGAGGGACTCGATACATTTGTTGAAAGGGGTGGTTCAGCCAGTATAGTATACTTCAGTTTGACATGGTCATAACCTACGTTTTTTAAAGAAACTATGCTGGTGACCCAATGGGGACTTTCTTTTCCAGTGCTTGCCTAAAGAACAAGAAGAAAAGTAGGAATAAATAAATGTTATTTTACAATGAAGAGTATTAAATCATTAGCTGATAGTTTCGTCCTGTACCAAATAAATTACTAGAGTGGTTCTCCCAAGTCATCTGTACTGAAACATCTGATACACAGCTAATTCATAAATGACCTAGAAGAGGGATGGATAGTGAATTTGCTGAGAAACAAAATTGACTAGAGAGTTGCAAAAGGGTCTTGTGATAGATGCAATTGGACAATAAAATGGTAGGAGAGATTTAGGGTTGGTAAATGCGGAATAATGAATATGGGGAAAAATAAACCCCCACTATCCATACCAGTAGGTGGGCACAGTATTATATTAGTTACTGTCACTCAGAAAAGAGTCTTTGTTGTCACTGTGGAAATGTGAGGCAGTGTTCAAATGTAGTCAAGGCAAATAGAAGGCAAAGTATATTATGACAGGAATAGAAATGAAAATTTGAAACATCATTATGCCAATGTATAAATATAGTATGTAAAAGATAGCAGGATGGCAAAATGACATGGAAAATGTAGAGAGTAATCTGTTAGCTGTTTGTCAAAACACAAACTAGGTTGCAAAACAAGGAGTTACAGTAAACAAATAAAATTCAGTATTTTCTCAGCAGTGCCTGATTAAATTATGCAATATAACTTACTGCTGTAGTATTTTACAAAGGGTATTAGTGTAAATGATTGAAAAAGGGATTAGATGTGTTCTAGGCAGAAAGGGGGTCTGTCGGTGTCTTTTTCAACACAATGGTGGTGTTATAACCTGCAGCTGGCTTCCTAAACCATTGATTGTAGGAAACTGGGAGGGGTGTCAGCTTATCATAGAATCATAGAATCGTTTAGATTGGAAAAGACCTTTAAGATCATACAGTCCAACCGTCAGTGCAACACCACCATGCCCACTAAACCATGTCCTGAAGTGCCACGTCTACACATTTTTTTAACACCTCCAAGCTTGTCTTATTATACCCTCCCCTTGCTACCAGCCAGGGTGAGAATGGGGTGGCCAGCTCAATGCGCATTTGGTCTGACTCAGAAGGTCGTCTTGTGCTTTCAGAACATCAGACCTCCTGCTCTTAACTTGTGTTCATACTTCCAGGAGTCAAAAGGTAAATATTTTTAGCAAGCTGAAAGAAATCTTGTAAGAACAACTACTTTTGCCAGCCAAGTCCTTGGATTTCTCCTCTGATTACGTTACAGACTGAGCGTAGCTTACTTCCTAAAATTTTGTATTTATCTGTTAAGGTAGTTTTGCATTTAAATAAAATATGTTCTTTAAACAACAGTATTTAGCCAATGACAAAACTGTAGTAAAACTCTTGCAAACATTTACTTTTTGCTTGTCATTATCTGCCTCTAATCTACAGTATTATTATGTAGTGATTCTTGTGATATTTTAGCTTTTAAGTATCTTCATATAACAGAAACTCTGTTAGAATGGTAAAGGTTGGTTTTATGTCCTGACTTTCTTCACCAGACATTGCTTTTTTTTACACTCATTTTCTGTATCAGGGGAGCAAGCTTACAGTATATAGCCTTTTTAGCTATGTTGGAAAATGCTGTTTAAAAATTGTTAGCTGCATTTCAAAATAGCTATTAAAATATCTCTGTATATAAAGTTGGTTTCATAGATATGAATGTTGTTTGTTTGGGTTTTTTTTTTAATTCTTTCTTTCTAGACAAAATACTGCTGTTTTACCTAAGTCTGCAAAAGTTCTTGACTGGCACCCCAAAGCTTGCTCTAGAAAATTAATTTTATTTTTTATCAACTGAGATGAACTGTGGGTGATAAAAAGGAAGAATTCATAACAATCAAGACAATTTCTACAAGAATTACTTTGAAAAGTAAACTCCATTTCTGTAGGAGTTGTATATGACTACCCAGGCTATTATCTTTATTTTATCCTAAGGGGCAAGAAGTACAGAGCTAACATATATTAACCATTGGAGCAAATAATATTTAATTGAAAAGGAAACAAGCATGATTATGCAAAGGGAATTTAATTCATTTAGGGTTAACTCCTGACTCCTTTTTTCATCTGAAGCTGTGTAGCATTTAGGAAATATTCCAACTTATGGAACTGGAGCACATTATACCAGAGCTATACTTCTTTCCTTGTCATAAAATACTCAAGTCTCGGGTTCCTGCGAAGGCAGCTCCAGAGCAGACGTCCAGAGCGGGGATCAGACTTCTGTGCGCCTGCTGTAATGGCATCTGCAGATGCAGCACGCAGCCGGAGTGCTCTGAAGGATCGTGCCAACATTTTTTTGGCTTTTCATAAAGCATTTCTATGTTATTCTTGCTCTGCCTTATCTTCTCCTTTCCCCCCCACCCCACACATTCCTACATTTATTATAAAGGTCCCTTGAGGATTTGTAGATATTCCCTTTTGAAGGGGAAAATATATTTATCAATGTCTTTTCTTTTAAACTGCATGCTCAGTAGTAAGACTTGCTCTTTGGGTATGGATGTATATATATATATATATATTAGAGATACTTAAAAGCTGACAGAAGTAAGGATGCTATTCTGGACTCAGAAGTTAATCCTTCCTTTACCAGTCATTTGTTGAATATTTGAGAGACATAGCTGTTAATGGCAAAGAATTAAACAAAATTCTTCCTGAACAAAAATCTTACTAACAGCTTTGCCTACTTTGAAAATATTGTGCAGTGTCCCTATTTATCAGCACGTTCCAAAGTGTGTTAAATACAGTTTCAGCTTTCCTGATGCATGAATTTGACTATTTATGTGTGACACAGATTCCTTTTCCCTGAAAAACAAGAAGTGTTTCGTCAAAACGCCTACTTAATAAGGACTTAGGCTGACATGATGCTGCAGATGGATTTCACCCTGAGCCGTGGGTTAGTTCCCTCAGCGTGGTGTTCAGACTGGCTTGTTTTACTCTCAAGGGCTGGGTCGGGAACGCGTAGCCGGCGCGGCAGACAGGGCAGCGAACGGCAGCCTGCAGTGGATCCGAAGCCTTGGGAACCAGCAGGGCCGGAGCCTTTCGACACGTGCTCCTCTTCCCTTCGTGTCCTGTGGGCAGCCTCCGCAGGCCCGGCGAGCGGGGCGGAGGAGCTGACCCGTTATTCCGCGCATCCCCCCGGCCCTCTTATGCATGTCAGGCGTCGCGCCCTGCGTCCTGGCAATGCCTGGCGCCTCGTGGCCCTAGCTGATCCGTGATCTAGCGTCCACGGGCCCAGAGTCACCAGCAGGTCACCGGCTGCGTGGTTGGCTTCTTCGGTTTTATTTCCGCTTGTGCTCGCTGATGCGAGGGCCTGCTTACGCAGCCCCCCGGCACCCCCCCTCCCTTCTGCTGGCACTGCTGCTCTAGAGGTGCAGCCCACCTAGAGGTACGGCAGCGCGCCTGGGATGCTGCTAGCCTGTCGTCGCTTGCTTCCCTCAATAAGCTGCCCTTATAACGACACAGCACTTGCAAAAATGACCGACAGCTTCTGGTTTGTCTGAAGCTTGCACACACAGCAGTATTTTGGCTAAAATAATTTTCCCTAGTAATCAAGTTGATAAAATGTACTGAAGGAACATCGGGCTTTTTTCCTTAAAAGCCTGTCTGACTGTAAAGAATGGATTGAATGAATTAGGGGGGGGAAAAAGTTGCATTAAATTTCATTCTGTGAATTCTCTGCTAAGAATGGTCATCAGTTATTCACTGCCTGGTGCTCGGTAATGCAGGTAGAGAAATTCTCGGTCATGTTGAAATTTTGAAATGCAGTGTTTCAAAAATGAGGAATAATGACATTTGGACCTCATTAATCAAAAAAAGCCAAACCTCTCTAGCATCGGAGAAGATGATGAGTACAACATACCACTTAAGACTGAAAATGTAATTTAACAGGAACTACAGAGACAGACACACCTTTGAAAATCTCAGGCCACTTTAGAAGCTGACCGGTGAACATAGGAACTTAATGTTTTACCCTATTTTTTAAAAATCTTGGGCTTTCATAATACCTTTCAGATATCTAATGTTGTCAAATAGGAAAAACCAGGTTTGAATAGTTAGAGACTGGCCAAGATCCCAGGGCAAGGGGCTGGGCTAGAAGTGCTAACGGAGCTTCTCACTGCTTAGACCACTGGCTTTGGCTCTTTCACAACTGCTGAACAAACACTATTTTCTAGTATCTTTTCAAACCTGCAGGGGAACAAATGTGAGCCATAGTGAAGAAAGTTAGTTTTGATGCCTTGAATTATATTTTTAAAATTATTAATCAAAGCCTTTTTCTTTCCCCTAGCCTTTTCTTACGCTTATGAATCTTCACTGTTCACCAGATGTCCACACATTTCTGTGCAAAGCCTTTGTCCCTGCCTGCCTGGAGCAAGTTCACGTGATTCACCCTTGTCGAAGCCTCTGTGAGAAAGTGTATTCTGACTGTAAGCAGTTGATGGACACTTTTGGTATCACGTGGCCTGAAGAGCTGGAATGTACCAGGTGGGGTATTTTTCATGTTGACAGGTGGTAGGGGTGACATTTTCATATTTGACCTAGACTCAGTTGAAAATCTGAGGCAGGATGTTAAATACCACCTTGCTGTAGCTTCCTCATCCCTGGTGACCCTATAGTGCTTATGCATAGGACTATTTTTTTATTAAAACTTTTTCATTATTCAAATGATCACCTATGTTTCCTGCTTGTGACTTTTTTACAACAAAGTTCTGCAGCAGTTCTTTTCAGTATTCAGATCCTTGCTAAAAGAAGCTTTTTACTGTAAGTTTCTTAAAATTTAAAATATTAAATGTTACAGTGTAGATTTTGCTTTGGTTTCTGATCTCTAAACTAGGGATGGTCATACTTACTTCATGGGGGTTTTATAAGTAATTGCTCACAAAATAATGAAATATAAAAACATTCTGTATTTGAAGAGACACAGAGCATTAAATAGTAGAAGCCATATCTTACTCCTAACCGCTTAAATGTGCAAATTCAATCTTGTGTTGTTTTTCCTGTACTGCCTGCCAGAAGTCTCTTTTTTAAAATTTCGCCTTTTTCTCAAAGGTGTTCACAGGTCTGTTCCAGAGACAAGACCGTTAATACTACATTTGGGGAAAAGTTGAGTCTATATATATTAAACGGAAACCACAGAAAACACTCCAGTGTAATCTTCTTGAGAATCTGACCTTCAGCTGCAGATATTTATAAATTAAGGCCAGATGGTTAGGATTTTTTAACACACATCAGGGCAAGAAGTACAGGGAAGGAGCAGAGAGTGGAAACTCAAGTCATTTTGCTAACCCCCATGCAGTTGCTAATCTGTAATAGGGCTGATGGAGAGCTAGGACTGTAGTCCTGTGCCATGATCTCTGGTAGAAATCCGTATTGGAGTGAATATGACAGATGGTATTAATGCCATTTCCCTTAATTCTGCAGAAAAATTGAAGTTGTGGCGTTTTAAAACAAGAAGGAATCAACTTTTCCCATCTAGTGTGAGCTTCTGTGCGATAGTAGTGCCACTCAGAGGAGCAAATGTCTTCAAGAATTGTTTTGAAAAATTAGGAAAGATTACGAGTGAAGCCAGTTACTCAGTGTATCTTTCAAATGACATCTTAGATCAAATTACATTTTTGCAGGAATCACTGCAGCTTTAAATTATTCTGTTACTGCTAGCATTTAATGAAGATGAACCTGCTCTGTTCATACGTGAAATGATGTCTCCCCAATAGCCGGTACAGAGAAGTCCATGTAATGCAGGATGCTCTTAAAACAGCAGATGTTCTCCTGCTGGAGCCCATGGAAGAGGAGCTGGTGTGAGGATGGGCAGTAACTGGAGTCCTGAGATTCACACTCTTGTATTCTTACAGATATACATAATGCCTATTAAGACATGGGTGACTAAAGTCCGCACTGGTGCCGTGCATACTGGTCTGACCCATGGTTAATGAAAAAATCTGCTACAGAATCAGTTTTCTTAATGATTGGTCTGGATTTATTTGGACAGCATGATAATGCAGAGAAACAAAGAACTGAAGTTTTTTTGCTCAAGCAGAGCTTGGAAACTGACATCGAGGGATTTATAGTAGCGTTTGACAAAGAACATTTTGAGATAACAGAATCTTACTTTAAAAGCTAGAATGCAAAGCTTGTTCTTTTAAAATACGTGCTTAAACTTGGAATGCATATAAATATAAATCCCATTTTGAGTAAATGCTTACCTGTTTGAGTTATACTTACATCAGCTAGTTTGAAGGTATGTCTAACACTGCTAATACTGTGTTAACCATATAAAAAGGTCGCGTATTGTGTCCAATTACATGTTTGAGCAAGTGAGTCCTGAGCAATTTTTAAATGAATATTATGGAGCTAGAAAAAAAATTGCTAAAATGGTGACCTTTTTTACAATGCTTATCTTTTCTGCTTTTGTCTTTTTCAGTTAGATGGTTTTATAGTTGTCGACAATGAAATTTCACTATAACATAAAAAATTATAATAATAATCATACAGTAGTCATCAGTTAATTCTAGATACTGTCAGCCTTCTTTCTTTGTTCCTTGATTGAAGCTTGCATTTGACAAGAGTGTTTTCTGTCTCCAACAGTCTACTGTTAACCAGCTTTAAAAAAAACAGCTACTGTAAATATTTTTATGTACATATGTTAAAAGTTTAGTAGAATTTAAGACTCTAAATTGCAATCTGTGTAGTGTTTCGTAAGCATTAAAACAACAACCAGAGAACAACAGTTAAATAGCTGTTTGAATAGTCTTCTAAACTGAAAATATTTGAAGTCTGTTTTTTAAAATGCTGCCTGATTTTTTTCATATAATGCACATTTTGCATTATCTACAAAATTTAACAGTGCTTAGAATCAGATTTTTTTCATATTTCTAAGAAATAATCATAGTGAGAATGAGGGGTATTAAGGTATTTCCTCTTCTGTTTATTTATCTAGACTAGTCAATTGTGATGAGACTGTTCCTGCCACGGCTGCTGTAACTACAAACATACATGGAACTCAGAAGACCCCAGGCCAGACCCGAAGGGATTATGGATTCTGGTGTCCACGACACCTACACACTACCAATGGACAAGGCTACAAGTTTCTAGGAATTGATCAGTGTGCACCCCCATGTCCCAATATGTACTTCAAAAATTATGAATTGGATGTTGCGAAAAGCTTCATTGGAATAGTTTCAATCTTTTGTCTTTGTGCTACGCTTTTCACATTCCTGACTTTTCTGATTGATGTTAAAAGGTTTAGGTACCCGGAGAGGCCGATCATATATTACTCCGTCTGTTACAGCATAGTCTCTCTAATGTACTTTATTGGATTTTTACTTGGGAACAGAACTGCCTGTAATGAGGCAGATGATAAGTTAGAAATTGGTGAAACAGTTGTTCTTGGCTCCCAGAACAAAGCTTGTACTGTCCTTTTCATGGTTTTGTATTTTTTCACTATGGCAGGAACTATATGGTGGGTGATTCTTACAATCACTTGGTTCCTGGCAGCGGGAAGAAAATGGAGCTGTGAAGCTATTGCACAAAAGGCCATGTGGTTCCACGCAGTTGCTTGGGGAATACCTGGTTTTCTAACCATTATGCTCCTTGCAATGAACAAAGTTGAAGGGGACAATATCAGTGGAGTCTGTTTTGTGGGTCTCTATGATCTGGATGCCTCTCTGTACTTTGTGCTTTTGCCGTTGTGCCTTTGTGTTTTTTTTGGTCTCTCTCTTCTTTTAGCTGGTATTATTTCTTTAAATCATGTGCGGCAAGTCATACAGCATGATGGCAGAAACCAGGAGAAGCTAAAGAAATTTATGATCCGAATCGGAGTTTTTAGTGGTTTATACTTGGTGCCTCTTGTAGCACTTCTTGGATGTTACATCTATGAACTGGTAAACCGGAAAATCTGGGAAACGACTTGGGTATTTGACCACTGTGACCAGTACCATATTCCTTGTCCTTATCAGGCAAGTAGCAGTTTCCTTTATAAATAATACTTGAAATTTAATTAACAAAAACCCTTATGCATCACTATGTCTGCCATGTGGTTAGTAAATTATTTTCACGTTAAGTAATCAGTTCAAGAACATGCACTGATTAGTTTCTTTTTAAGTCAAAATAGGTGGTATGGTACTTTTGCTTTGAAATTTTTCCCTAATCAAATTGATAGCACTCAGCAATTCCAACTCACCGCTCTAAACGGAATATATAATCTTTGTGATATTTGAACTTCATGTTACAAATTGTGTTGAGGGAGGATCGTTCTTTACAGTGTCTGTTCCTAAAGGTAGTTGCTCAGTATTTGGGTGCATAGCTCAATATCAAAGTACCTAAGGTGAATTTTCATCAATTTCAGTTGCAGCTGAAATAATGATTCTTGAAAATTGAGTCTAAATTGGATTTAAAATGTTGCTTATAACCATAGTTTTAAAATCACTCTCATCTTTTTTTTCTTCAAAGTGTAGAAGTGTAAAACACTTGAAATTACAAAACAAATTTCCAGTATATTTTTTCCATGATAGCTGTCATTTGCAGGCTGATTTTCAGTAATGTGAAGAAATCTTTAAAAAAACCCAAACAAACAAAAAGCAAGTAAAACCAAAAAAACCCAAACAACCCAACAGCACTTTAAATTGCAGAGCTGTTTGTATTTAACATTTGACTCCTTAAAAAACCACTTCCTTGGAAAGGCTTTTAAAGTGAATCTGCCCATATTCAGTACTCTATGGATTTAATCTTTTGTAAGTACATAAAAATCCCTGCAATTGCAAGTAATTTGTGGTTTGTTTCTTTCCATTTAAGAACAAATATAAAACAAGACTCCATCACTAAGAGAAATGCGAGTGTCTCATGTCATCTTTCATTGCTTTGCACTTACCATCTTATGTTTTTACTGCAATAAACTATGATTAAAAAGAGGAGTATAAACACAGGCATTATGGAATGATAAGGCTTGATCCTGCTGCATTCTTAAACATCCTCTATATCCTCCGTATTGAAGTCAGTGTAAGCTGAGAGTAGCACAGCTCACAGACTTCTTGGGTTTTTTTTCTTCCATTACCATTCTTAACGAGTGCACTTTGTCTTCGGTGGGTTTTAAACTGAGCTCTGTATCAACCTAAGTCGTCCAAAATACACAAGGCTGAAAACAAGGCTTTTATGCTTTTCAAAAAACCCACTTGTTTTGTAGTGCTTAAATATAACAGCTTGGCATAATAACACAGAAAGAGCATGTATTCTTAGCCTTTAATTAACCCATTGGAAAGAGTAAATAGCAACAGGGAATGTTACACAGACGTACCTAATGGGATCTGTCCCTATAACAAACAGCGTGTGCTAACTGTGGAGTAGCTTAAAGTGGCATGCTCGGCCTTGGCTTACCTGAACTAGCTTGTAGACATTTATTACATTGGCCAGATCAAAACCAAATAAAAACAAACTTCAGCTGAAGTAGCTAATGTTACCTGGCTAACAAAAGCAGTGACTTTCATAGATGGGACTGGCAGATAAGCCAGGTAACGTAAATTAAATTTGCAGCATGGGAGCAGGAGATAATAATCTCTTACTGAGTTATATGTCTCAGCTCCTATGATCCTGTTCTGCAAATAGGTGGATTAATTTTGCAATAAACAGAAAACTACTATGTAGTTCCCTGCGGCTCCTTGACGATGCTGTCTAATCTGATTAACTCCCAACTCATCCACTTACTGTTTCTTTTAAGTTGAAGGGATAAATCTTATACATACAAACTATTTCTGGAGAACATGTTTACTAATACTATTACCCCCCAAATTATGTTTCCTTTCAATTTAAAAGAAAAATATTTCCTTCTGACTAATCTCCTCTCTGTGTATTCAGCTGTAGACATTAACCAGGTCTGACTTGACTGTACATGTCTAACATTTGTCCACAGTACAAGCCTCAACAAAGAACAGCAGCCGTAAGAGAAAGTCTCTCTTTTACATAATTTGTTTGTTTTCTGCATTTAAAAAATTAATCAACAAGTATATTTTCTTCTTTGCATTTATTAAACTTTGTTATCTTATAGGCAAAGGCACTAGCAAGACCAGAAATATTTTTGTTTCTGATGAAATATTTGCTGACATTAATTGTTGGCATATCTCCAGTCTTCTGGGTGGGAAGTAAAAAGACCTGTTCTGAATGGGCTAATTTCTTCAACAGAAACCGCAAAAGAGAGTAAGAACAATTTTTTATTCCTGTTTTTTAAAGTGTATAGTTTAAGATGAGTTGGATTTCAGACATGTTTCTTTAAATATAAGTCAGGTAATCAAAATGTTGTCCTTAGGCCCTTTCTTTTTCAGAGTCTTAATGCCGCATATGGGCATCAGCAAAATTCCATTGGAGTCTGTGGAAGTTTTACATATGCGATGACTTTTTGACAACATTTTCAGAAGATAGAAAATATTTTCCTCTGCTGATCTGTTCTCTTTCATAGAGCAGAAGACATATTGTTGTGTTTAGCATTGGCTAATAAATCTCTGGTTTCCAGTTGAATGAGGGAAGATAATTTCAGCCATCAATTTAGATCTTTTCACGTGTTCAGTTGGCACAGTACTTAGCTGTGTTTACTATCATGCAGTAATAACATCCTCTGCTTTTCTCCTCTGCCAGGCTTGTCTTATTTTAAAATTAATTTTCATTGACCCATCTTTAGTATCACTTTTATTGTATTAATCTACAGTTCCTCATTTTTTTTCTGAAACAGAATAATTCAGTTTTATTACTTAATTTTAGTAAATTTGTATCTATGGATTTAAACAGATTATAAATGTCATCTCCATTTCTTGTCATTTTTTCCATTCCTTTTTTTTTTCCTTGATTATTTCTTTTTAGATTATCTGTGTTACTCGTAAATTATACTGTGGTTTTAGATCTTTTCATTTCTTTGGATTTCCCAAGGCAGCAGTCCTTAAGCTCCTTTTATTTTACATCTACATTCCTTGATGGTGAGCTTATAGCTTCCTTTCCCTCTCCCCTCTTTTTCCATTTCCTGTATAATTTTTCGTGTGTTTCAGATGTTAACTGCTTTCAGCTGTAAGAATTTAAAAATAACAAAGTCAATTTTGTAATGTTTACCTTTTTTTCCACTTGAACGAGGTTTACTTTACATAAAGTTAATTTGGTAATACAGCTGCTTATGAGCTAATCCTGCTTTCTTCTCTTAGATGATTAATCTACTAAAGTCATTGGACCTACTTGCAGAAGTAAGAAATGTACAAATCTGCTTTATTTAATTGTTCCACAGACACAATTACTTTGGAGCCATTATGATCAGATTTTTTTCTCTTTTCACATGTAATTTTCTCCCTCGTTCGGTAACATCCAGCTCAGATTGCATCTTTGGTTGCTATTCTTCCACTTTTTTTTGTGTATGAAGCTATATTACATTGTATCTAAGGTTATCCTCTTCATTCAGTTACACGCTTGTATTTTCTTTCAGTCCAATCAGTGAGAGTCGAAGAGTGCTGCAGGAATCATGTGAATTTTTCTTGAGGCACAATTCCAAAGTTAAACATAAAAAGAAGCACTACAAATCAACTTCACACAGATTGAAAGTCATTTCAAAGTCAATGGGGACTAGTACAGGTGGCACAACAAATCATGGAACTTCTGCAGTAGCAATCACTAATCATGATTACTTAAGCCAAGAAACTGTTGCAGAAATTAAAACCTCTCCAGAGACATCTGAGAAAGAGATAGAGGCAGACGGAACGTCAGCCCAAAGAGTCGAGGAAGGTGAAAACAGTGGAGATCAAATGTTATCTGGTTCTAAACTGACCGTGGATCAGGTGGAAAAAAGAAACAAAGCAGATAGCACATGTGATATGAGCAGCTTGGCTGAGAGTATGAAGAGAGTAGGTGAAGGAAGGTAAGGCTCCTTAACTCAGTCTTTTGCTTGTTTATGAGTATTGCCACTATTTTTGTACATTTTTTATTTCTTCCCTCTGAAGAATCACTATACTCTCAGTATACAATTAACCCTCAGTAAGTGTCAAGAGTACTGTAATTCTTACAAACTGTTTCATATGGGCTATTTTATATTTTTGTAAGATTCTTCTTCTCCTTTTAAGCATTGAGTGCTGGAGCTTCAACTTGTAGGATATTCTTGTATTGTTGAACAGTGACCCTCAAGAAATCGGTGGCTGCAATGCAATCATTTTGAGAGGTGACCCTAAGCTTGGAAGAGTATACAGAACTGTATTGTGTTCTCTTGAAAAGAATATAGCTTAAGATATATTATAATTTCATTGCTAAAAATGGGGGTTTTTTTCCAGTGTAATGCACTGTGCTTAAAATTGACTCCCTGTGTTTTATTTTTCATTACTTACAGAATAACTCCTAAAAATGATTTTGTTGAATCTCCTCCATTACAAAGCAGCTGTTCCCAAATACCTGATGTCTCTCAGTCAGCTTCCGTATCACTACTTGTCTACTCAGCTTCAGACACCAGAAGAGAGTTGGATTCAGGAAACAGTTCAAACCCTTGAAAGATTGAAATTTTATATGAACATTTTCAATGTATAAAACTGATACAGATTCTGTGTTACACTGGAAGTAACGGATATTCTGTGCCTTATTAAAAAACACACATATCTTGCTTTGCACTTAAAAAATGTTAAGTTTTGTTGTGGGGGGCAGCTAGCAATAATGTACTATATTTAATCCTATCCAGGAATAATGGAAATTGAAGTTCTCTAGGACACGGCTGGACTGACTAGCAGTAATTTAAGAAAAAGACGAAAGAAACAAATATTATTCCCAGTATAAAGAACACTTTGTAATGAATTGCATTAAAATAATGCTTAGAAAGCACTCTTACTTTTCAAGGCATAAAAGTTCTGTCTGCATCTTTGATATTTTTCAAAACTTGTTAATTTTTTTCTCTTCTTTACTCTGTCTTAAACAGCAGTATCACTTAAGGGATACACAAATTTATAAATACTCTAAATTATGTGTCATGATGTATCAATTATAGCACTGTTTTGTGGTAGCTTGTACACTGAATATGAAAGGGAATCTGGAATTGTGGTGATTTATTTTGTACATAAAAATGAATTTTGTAAATAACTGACTGCATAAGGTCAATATTTAGAACTACTGTTTTGTATGTATTGTACAAACTTGGTAAAGTTAACATGCTTCCATTAGGTTGTTACTAAAGTCAACAGTCCTGTGATGATCAGACAATGTTACTTAGTTCTGAGTAAAGCAGATTGTGCCTTTATATATAACATGCACCATACACTGTGCATTTGGGGCAAGACTGGTCAGACATCTGTGCATCCTGTTACAGGGATCATGCCTTAGATGCAGCACTGCTTCAGAAAAATGCTTCTTGGAGCCCCTCCTGGTGTGGTGTTCCAGTGCATCATGCCAAAGAAGAAAACACTTCAGATCTCTCGCGGCATGGGGGACAGAATCTGAAGTATACACTTTGCGGTTTTTTACTGAGCTGCAGTGAAATTATATGTTTCACATTGTTTCTATGCAAGTAACTTAATTTTTTAGAATTCCCTAGGGAAACATCTTGCAGAAAATAAACTGTTGAGTTATTAATATACAGGCTTGTTTAACAATATATTTACTTAAAAGAAGACCTTAATACTTTTTCTACAAAGCTTAATTTTCTATATGCTACAGCAATATATTTTCTTTAAATCAAAAAGGCCTTAATACATGTAGCCTTCCTTATGATAGGGTGGTTCTCAAGAGCAAGTACTACTGACGTGGATAAGAATTTCATCGTTTGGCTCTTAAGAAATCCTGGCTCCAATGAAGTCAATGTGATTTATTGCTTGAGATAATTTGGAGCCAGGATTTTGCTGTTTTCTAAACCTGAATGTCAATGGCTTTTGTAAGACTGTTCAGTATCTTGATTACTAATAAAAATATTTCTCAATATTTTGATATTATGCAGAGAAATTATTGTGTTCCAATTTGGGCAGCATTCATGGTGATACTTTCAACAATCAAGCAAAATTGCGTGGGTCAAAGGTCATGTAAATGCTGAATCAACAGGAACTACAGTTCTGATAAACCAAAATTATTTGTTTTATCCATCGTGTATTAAAAATTGAATGTATTTACCTTTATATTGCAGCATCTGCATTTTAGCATTTGTAATTTATTGCCTTAAATAGGACATGTTATTTCTTTCATGATTTCCCCATTAAAAATATACAGAATTCTTACTGCTGAGAAAGTGAGAAAGATCCGAAAAATCTCCTGTGAAAATGCACACTAAGTGCCCTTCATTGTTGTAGTCATGTTTGTAAACGGGTAACTTTATATACATGTTCAGTAGTTTTGTTATTACTGTCTTTGTTCGTAATAAAATATCCTGTTGTATAGTAAGAGTTTCCGACTTGATATTTCTTATTAACTATATGTAGCATGTTTGTTGCTCTATTACTGTAGTATTTTTGCACCGAAGACACTTGAATGTATTTTTTTCTTAGAGCTGTGTGAGGTAATAAGTATTGCAGTGTTTTTATCCCTCCTGTATGAGAAACTGAGACAGAACAACGGTGGGAATTGTTCACATGAACACGGAGAGTTACGAAAGAATGAAAAACTGAACCAGGTCTTTCATCCTAAGGTTTAGAGCATTCTTTCTTTCATGACTTCTAGTTAAAGACCTCCTTTAGATTACATAGACTATGTATTTCCACACTATGTGCTTGCTGCAACCTTCTTAAAATGTCGATACACATCTTTATTTAATATTACTCCTTTTTTCAGGTAGTTCAGAAGGTCACTGCTCTAAAAAAGATTAATACAAAGTAAATCTGAAGATACAGCAATACTGTGGGTTTAAAAATAGATGCATTTTCAAAGAACTGTGAAATACTAAGCAGTAATCATAACATTCATTGGAAGTGAAATGCATCGGTGGTAGATGGAGACTGTAGCACTTGTGTGTTCCCATGCTGCTGTACCAGAAATAACGTACAGACTGTGAATTCCCAAGGTGACCTTTATAGCTAAAGAGATTGTGGTCTCCGGATGCTTTAACCTTGAAATACCCAAGTAGTAACTGGAAAGTTAAACAGCTACTTGAATGCCCACAAAAATGATGGAGGGGAAGAAACTGAAAGAAAAGAGGTGCAGAGATAAGTCAGGGTATGGAAGACTGCTGTACAGTGATGGACTACAGAGAAGCTCATAAATGGTTTATCTTAACAAAAGGTGTTTGGGTTATTTGCTTTCGTCTGTTATCTGACCAAAGTTAAAACTGAAAATAAGCAATTGATATTAAATGGGCTTTTCTTAAACTGCAAGAATAACTTCTTACTAGAACATCACCATCAACTGAAGTCATTTAATCGAGACTGGCTATCTTCTGAAAGATGCTCTATAAAGCCAACAGTTGAAAAGATTGGTACAGCCGTTTTAGTCTTGTATCCTGCCTTTGTTTGCAGAAAGCTAAAATAAAGGGTACCGACAGCTTCTCCAAGCCTTAAAATATGTGTGCCAAATGGTCTTTTACTTCCCTTCTTTCTCTTAATGGATCTCTCATAAATCACTTCAAAGCATGCATTACACTGAGTTTTCAGGTTGCATATAAAACCTTTCAAAGGACAAGATAAATTTAACATACTAAATCATATTTGATTTATGATATAAACAGCACCTGAAATTACTAATACAGTAGTTTTATGGTACATGTCGTGTATACTGTATTTTACCCTCCTATTTTCCTAAATTTTTTTAGTGAAAAGTGGGGTAAAGTTTACCTGGAGTATAAAATAAATCTATGCACATATTTGGAAAAAAAAACCAATCCAAGTTTGTAAAACTAACCTGGGATATGGAAAAAATGGTTATTTTGTTTTTAGCATTTAAAAAGATAATAAGAAAAATTTCTGCAGTATTTAAAACCTCTTTAAATCTTCTTGCTTTTTGAAACAATTCAGGAATGGAGCACTAACAAGCTGAAGCAGCATACAGTTTTCTGACAATTGTTCAAATGATTTACAGAGAACTGTAGGTCCTTTTTCTTTACAGGATACAGAATATACTTGGTTTAAAGACAGTCAAATCCAGTTGAATTTCAGAAGCAAAAATAAAAAAAAATTTAAATATGAAAAGTTGATCTTCTTTAATAAAAATAAGTTCAGCATTCTGCAAAGCACCGAAAAATGCAGTAGCTGAATAGAATGAGGAATCACGTTTCCCTTTGAAGTTTGACCACCCAGTCTCAGCGTGCAATTTCAGAAGGCTGCACATCAAAGGAGAAATGCTACATCCCTCCCTTGACACTGGCCACTTGTTGAATCGGTCTTTGAAGGTATCTGACAGCTCACTGTTTGGCTGCATTCACTGGTAAAGATCTCTGCCAGTATTAACCGCTGGTATTTGCAGTAATTTCGATGTCTGGCACCAAAGGCATTTTAGAGTCTCATGGGAATAAATGTTATTTCCTGTGCATTACCTTCTTTTGCACTTATTCTTTCACTCTTATTTTTGTCATACTTATCTTACTTACCTTTTTTTTAATGGACTAGAGTTTAACTGTAATTAAAGGAGTTGGGCAACCTATACCACACCTTCATGAGCTGTCTGCTTTGGATCTCTAGAAGCAGAGCTCAGAGTATCTTTCTGATGTAAGTCTTTGAAATTCACTTCTGTATATTAACTGGATTTTACTTCCTATTAAAAAGCACTTGAGATGCAAAGTATAATTAAAAGATTAAAAACATGCCAGGACATTTATATCTGAGCTCTTCATTAATGCTTGTTCCCCCTAGTTCAATTTTGTTCATCAAAACTAAATCTAAAATAAAAGTTTGCTTTATTTCAGGTCTTACTCGTTAAAATAATGACAAACATAAGTTATCTTTAAAGATACAAAGATCTTCCTTCATTAAATAGCTCACAGCTGGTTTCTCAGCACAAACAGGAGTGGGAGAGGAGAATGGTTTCTGCAAGAAGAGCTGTGTGGAAGAAAGCAGTTTGGGGGGAAGGGAAGTGCTAAATGGGCACTCGGTACGGGGTGTAGGTGAACTGGAGGGACACTGGTCTGCAGCCTAGAGAGCATACTGTCAGGTGTGGCCGTGTAGTCATGAGAGAACATCAGGTGTTTTAAGCGGAGAGGAGTACACTGATATTTTAGGACTCACTCTTGACATACAGGGTGAAGAGAAACGGCAAGAAGGAATTTTACTTCCATTAAGTAGGTTTGTAAGTCACAGAGGTGATGGTGGGATCATTCGACGTGGCCACCAAAGGGATCTTAACAGGAAAAAGGATGTTCCGTGTTGGTCCTGTATGAAGGATGACCAAAGTATCTATATTTTTATGAAGATAAATTGCATCCCAGTTTATCTTCCTGATGTTCTGCCTGACCATATGAAACTGGGTCACAAGAAATTACATGGGTACAAAAATAAGATACTGCCAGATAAGGTCCTGGAGGAAATGATTAGCAAGCTAGTTAATTAGTCGATGGCTTAAGCTAGCTGGGAAGCTGCATTCTCTCCACACCCACCTCTAGCAGTATCACACCTACTATCCAAGAGTGCATGCAAGTCTTGATTGACCCAGCCGAAGACGGAGGATTTGAGGATGCTGAAACAGCTGAACAGGTTTCTTGGCACTGGGTTTGGGTCACTGATGTTGCCCACCGGACACAGTCCTCTCTGGGGCTTGGTCTCCTTCCAGATTCCTACGGGCAGGGCTGCGATCCAGACTTCCAACTAAAGACCGAGGGGATGCACTGCAGGGATTACCAATGCAGACATGTATCATTCCGTGAAACGTGAAAAGGTGGCACTGACAGGGGTGTGACATGCCAGTGAGTGGATGA